GGAATTATTTAGGAAAGAAAGACACCCTTTCGTAGGCATCTGCCTCTTTTCTCCACCATCTCCGTTGTGGGCCATACTCGGGGAACGGGTGAGAAACCTGGCGTGTAACTTCTGTGAAGTGTTTTGCTCCCTGTTGCATGGTAACTGCTTGGGTCAAGAGAACTTGGTACTAATTTCATTTTGATCCATTCCTCTTTTGGTCTAGTAGTGACATATTCTTTGTTATTTCTTTGTAACGTGCACGTATACGTGCCTCGTACTGTTTGACCTCTGAAGAAGGCCTAATGGGCGGAAATGCGTCACAATAATTGTTCCTTGCGTACTTGTCATTTGTATTTGTTAATGAGGCTTTCAATGGGCCCTTATATGTTTTTTTAAAACTTTTCTCAGAATAAATGCATGTATTTTACTTATAATAAGTTTATGTGAGGTTTTAACTGTTGCCCCTTCGTCAGCTATCCCCCCTACCTTTTGGGTTCTTGGTTCAAGAGAACTTGGTGCCTTTTCTCTTTGCATTGGCATCGCAGCTGACGGTACAGTAACTTATTACCTTCACACCTTTTCCTGTTGGATTGTTAGTTTCCAGAGTGAGTATAGGTGTCTTGCATCCTGGGAGCAGCTGATCATCTTGAATAGAGATGTGAAGGCCCGGGAAAAAACTGGAAAAATTCAGAAAAAAATGGGTTTTTCCGTTTTTTTCCTGAAGCCTTTTTGTTTTTTTCATTTTATTTTAACATGATGAATAAAATATTTTAAGACAAGGTGTTCAAATGTTTTCCAAATCATTTCTAAAATATATATTTATGGTATCAGATTGATCTAATTTCTGTGCATTGAGGACAAGCAAGTCCTAGGTTACAAACTGAACTCTCCAATGCAAGAACAAGATGCATTTCTTCCTTTAGGAGGTGCAATTGTCAGAAGAAAATAATAAGGTTTCAGTTTTGTTTTTGCATGTGGGTGGGTAATAATTGTTTGGATACACTATATTTTTAATATGCTAGTTGTGATAATTTCATGCCAAGTAAAAATGTCCATAGTCATATTTTATGTTCCTAAAGTAACAGAATGACTTTCAATTTGGAAAAGACAAAAGAAATGCTAATGTGGCATTTTTTTCAATTTTTCCGAAAAATTTCAGTTTCCCCCCGAAAAAACCCGGTTTTTTTTCCTGAGCTTCAAAATTTCCGGAAATTTTACATCTCTAATCTTGAAAGCTTTTGGCTAGACGGGGTCCTTTTCTTCTGGAGTTAAAGATGTCCTTTTCATCTTGGATCGTCTCTCTGTGTGTTTACTTAGAAAATAAGCCTTGTATTGTTTGGCATCTAATAATTGGAATAAAAAGTTAACTTTCTCCAGTCGGGCTTATGTGTGTACACTACAGTGGATTGTTTACATTGATTCTGATGGAAAAACAGTAAGCATGTGATTCGTTTCCTTCCTTCCTCATTAATACAAATGCATCTTTGGCTGGTTCTGGCCCACATTTTTCATCCTGTTGTTGAGCCACAGGCCCATCTAGAGGTTGGCATGAAATTTTATGATATGGCACTGTAGAAAATGCCTTTTTGGGAGCTGGCTGCACTGTTACTTCTGTTAAGGATGTGTTCCTTCGACTGTTCTCGTGGGGAAATACACTGTTCGTGTTGAAAACCAGTACTGAGTCCACAGCTGCAGCTGCTGCCTGAGCTTCAATATTCCAGCACATTTCTGCTGCGCAAGACTTCTGGGCCGCATTATCAGTTGTGTGCTAAACTCACAAACTGTGCTTGCTGTGTTTTTCTGTGTACAGAGAATTGTACCTGAGAGCAGCAGTTTTCGGGGCAGCGGGTGAGGTTGGGTGGCGGTTCTCTCCTGGTGGGTCACAAGGCTCAGAGGGTGGAAGTGGGGAGGGAGCGGGGGGGGGGGCAATTCCAGGAGTCTTCAGACCTGTCTGATGCATGACCGGGCCATGAAAAACTGCCTTGTTGCCCAGCAATCTTACAAAATGAAAAATGGGTGGGATTGTGCCTCACTGGAAGAGCTTCTGATTTGCATGCACAAGGCCTCTGGGTCAATCCCTGCCACCTCCACTTAAAGGACATAAGAACAGAAGAGAAGCCAATGATGGATCAGGCCAGTGGCCCATCCAGTCCAACACTCTGTGTCACACAGTGGCCAAAAATACCAGGTGCCATCAGGAGGTCCAGCAGTGGGGCCAGGACACTAGAAGCCCTCCCACTGTTGCCCCCCCCCCAAGCACCAAGAATACAGAACATCACTTGCCCCAGATCGAGAGATCCTATCTATACCTTGTGGCTAATAGCCACTGAGGGACCTCTGCTCCATATGTTTATCTAATTCCCCCTTGAAGCTGTCCATGCTTGTAGCCACCACCGCCTCCTGTGGCAGTGAATTCCATGTGTTAATCACTGTTTGGGTGAAGAAGGACTTCCTTTTATCTGTTCTAACCCGACTGCTCAGCAATCTCATTGAGTGCCCACGAGTTCTTGTATTGGGAGAAAGGGAGAAAAGTACTTCTTTCTCTACCTGCTCTTTCCCATGCATCATCTTATAAACCTCAGTCATGTCACCCCTCAGCCGTCGTTTCTCCAAGCTGAAGAGCCCCAAGCACTTTAACCTGTCTTCATAGGTGAAGTGATGTGAAAGACCTCTGCCTGAGACCCTGGAGAGCTGCTGTCAGTCTGAGTAGACAAGACTGACCTTGATGGACCCAGGGACTGATTCAGTAGAAGGCAGCTTCATGCCGGGGAAGGGGCATGGCTCAGTGCTGGAGCATCTCTTTGGTGTGGAGAAGGCCCCAGGTTCAGTCTCCGGTGTCTCCAGTTGAAACGGGTCAGGCAGTAGAAAAGAGTAAGTGTCTGGTAGCACCTTAAAGAATAACTGAGTTTGTGGCAGGGGAGGAGCTTTCCTGAGTCACTGCTCCTTTCTTCAGGGTGAGGCAGTAGGGGATGAGAGAGACCTCTGCCTGTAGACCCTGCTGAGAGCTGCCACCAGTCTGAGTAGACGATACTGGCTTTGATGGACCGATGGTGTGATTCAGGATAAGGTCTCTTCAGGTGTGAGGCACAAGATGTAAGCACAAGATCACAGCCTGGCGTGATCTGGTCCATGGGGTCGCGAAGAGTCGGACTCGACTGTGCGACTGAACAACAACAACAACAACAAGATATAAGCTTGTTCACTGAGCAATTCTTGCGTTTTTGTTTTTTTTAAATATGGGGGAGAGATAAAGCGGTGTTGAGTCGCTTTGCTTTTGGGGACCTGCTTGCAAAGCAAGTGCAGAAGTGGGTCTGACTTGAAAATGTCCTTGAGTAGGCCCCGTGTTCTTCTGTTTTGTGGGAGGCAATTGGTGGGGTGGTTTGCCGGTCCTAATTTTCAAGACTCTAGTCTGGGAGAACCGGGTTTGATTCCCCACGCCTCCACATGCAGCCGCTGGTGTGACCTTGGGTCAGTCACATGTTCTCTCAAGGGCAGTCCTCGAAAGAGCTCTCTCAGCCTCACCTATCTCACAGGGTATCTGTTGTGGGGAGGGGAAGGAGATTGTAAACTGCTCTGAGACTCCTTTGGGTCGTGAAAGGCGGGGTGTAAATCCAGTCTCTTGTCTTTTTCTCTCTTCTCCTAGAGCCATCCCTGAAACGTCCAAGGGATCCTGGCACTTTCCAAGCTACGGAGTTGGGCCCCCCCCCCCCCCCCGCTTGGTCCCTCTGTATAGTTGCGAAAGTGAAAGAGCAGAGTCATATTAAAAGGTAAAGGTTCCCTTGCCCGAAAGCCAGTCGAATCTGACTCTAGGGTTGTGGTGCTCATCTCCGTTTCAAAGCCCAAGAGCCAGCGCTGTCCGAAGACGTTTCTGTGGTCATGTGGCCGGCATGACTAAACACCAAGGTGCATGGAACGCTGTTCCCTTCCCACTGAAGTGGTACCTATTTATCTACTTGCAATTTCTTGCTTTCAAACTGCTAGGTTGGCAGGAGCTGGAACTAGAGATGGGAGCTCACTCTGTCATGCGGCACACTCGGGTCTCGAACTGCTGAACTACCGACCTTCCACAGCCTGCAGTTCAGTGTCTTAACCACTTGAGCCACCGCAGCTCCAGAGTCATATTAGAGCAGCTCTAAAATATTTGGAATATCGTTGCATTAAAAAGTGCTGGAGGTGCCAGGGTTTGATGCTTTGATTAGACTCTGATAGGGTGTCCTTATTCCTGTTCCCCCAGTTGTTCTAAAGCAACCATGTCAGATTTTTGAACCACAAAAAGAATGTTAAAGGTGCTGGATAGTGTAACTCTGTATGCGAGAGGATCTGGGAGGGAAAGGGTTCGCAGGGGTCTTTTTGTAGCAGGAACTCCTTTGCATATTAGGGGACACACTCCTAATGTAGCCAATCCTCCAAGAGCTTACAGAACTCTTCTTACGGGGCTGCTGTAAACTCTTGGAGGATTGGCTGTATTAGGGGTGTGTCGCCTAATATGCACAGGAATTCCTGCTACAAAAAGAGCCCTGGCCGCCCGAGATTTCTCTCGCTCGGGTGCACTTGACAGGTGGCTCTACCCTCTCATCGGTGAGATGTTGAGCCTCTTCGGGCGCTTGCTTGCCTTCTGTTTTTCATCTTCTATAGGACCTCTCTTCTCTCTCTTACCTGGGCTTGGAGCAGTAGCAAGTTAACCTTTTTGAAGCTAATCTGTTCACAGTAAGTTAGATGTACCTACATGAATATGTCATCTAAGATGTGCTTCTATTTTTGTAAGTAAAATTTCTTCCTCTTGCTACCATTGGAGTCAAGACCATCTTTGTAATTTTGCTTGAACAGCATTTTCCCTTAGCCAGGAAGCGTGGAGAGTCGGGGGATACTGCAACACAAAAGCTTCTGTGCGTCCGAGGCAAATGATTTCTTTCTCATTTAACCCAGTAAAAGGTTCCCTGAGTTCATGAGCTAGTTGCATTTTATAGCACTTGAAAAGGTACCAAGAAGGGCAGCAAGGCTAATCCTGGGATTAGGAGGAGTGAGTTAGGAGGATAGACACTTTAAAAAAAGAGAGAGAGAGAGAGAGAGAAATTCTTGCAAATGGAACGAAAGAGGAAAACGTGG